TATGATGGAAATATGGACCTGCAAGAATATTCTAGAAATAATACATTATACAAGACCTGATTTTGTTTTAATGCAACTCAGTTTTAATTTCTGTAGGCCTCTCAGAGTTGGAGACTTCCGCCACATTGAGAGATCCTTTTTTGTCCCACAGTGGGGAAATTCCAGTGTTGCATCACACGTTCCTTAACTCTGGAATAACATCTCTATCATTAACATAATAAAGAAGCATAAATATCTATATATTGGCAAAATCAGTATAAAGTACTGTGTATACTAGTGCAAGCAATATATAGTTGTGGATTATAGTATGTTTACACCAGTACATGTTAGCAGCAGTATGTGTACATCTGTACATGTTAGCAGCAGTATGTTTACACCAGTACATGTTAGCAGCAGTATGTTTGCATCTGTACATGTTAGCAGCAGTATGTTTACATCTGTACATGTTAGCAGCAGTATGTTTACATCTGTACATGTTAGCAGCAGTATGTTTACATCTGTACATGTTAGCAGCAGTATGTTTACATCAGTACATGTTAGCAGCAGTATGTTTACTTCTGTACATGGTCGCAGCAGTATGTTTACATCTGTACATGATAGCAGCAGTATGTTTACATCTGTACATGTTAGCAGCAGTTTAAAATCCTTCTCTTAACATATAAAGCCATAAATGGCTTGGCTCCTTCTTATCTCCAAGACACGTTGGTGTCGTATCAACCAAGTCGAGCGTTGGGCTCACAAAACGCCAGACGTCTGGTGGTTCCTAAGGTCTCAAAGATCACTGTTGGCGGCAGAGCATTTAGCTCCAAGCTCCTTTACTGTGGAATCAGCTTCCCATTTATGTTAAGGAAGCAGATACGGTCTCCACATTCAAGGCCAGGCTTAAAGCACTCTACTTTAATTTAGCATATAATTAGGTAATATATAATATATGGTGTATATATTATATATATATGCTGTATTATGTTATATATTATGTTATATATTATACAATATATGTATTATGTTTTGTATTGTGTTATGTTGTATATTATGTTATATATTATGCTATGTTGTGTATTACATATGATATATATGGTATGTATGGTATATGTGATGTATATGATATATAATATATAATTAGGTTTGCTTGGATCGGTTTGCACACCTGGTGTGCAATCCATGAATCTTGGTGCTGTAACCTAGACTAGCCTAGCCGTGGCTGCTGTTGTCTCGCCTCCTTTCAGATACGCTCTCTTTATTCAAGGCTAGGTTTAAAACAGTCCTCTTTAGTTTAGCATATGGCTAGGAAGGTAAGACTCAGGGAAGGCTAAACTCAGACTGTCAGTCAAGCTGCATAGGGAGTCAGTTTGCTGGGAGAAGTATGGTAACTTGAGCACTATCCTCTCCTCCTTCCTACTTTATCTGTTTAGCATTTTTAGGATTTTGACTGTAGTTTGTTCATTGCTATTCACCCGTTGTCCCATTGTCTGTTTCATGGTACGATGACGGGATCTCTGAGCCTGGCCTCCTCCATCTACACCTGCGGACTGCCCCGCCCGACCCGCCTGGGAGTGCTTCAGTCCTGCACCGGACCTGTCCACGTTCAGCGGCCACTGGTCCACGTTCTGTAGCTAGCTTAGGTCCTGGATCATTAGCCTGTCCGTCCGGAGGAGCGGATCCCTTTCTCAAATGGGTCTCCCTCCCTGTGGGTTTCCCTAGTTCTCCCCAAGGTTTCTCACTTTTTCCCACTGGGTTTTTTAAGAGTTTTTCCTTGTCGATGCAGGAGGGTCTTGTTGGACAGTTAGTGTCCAACAGAAAGGATTGGTGATGATCAGGACACTTTAGCATTCTACAACATGTATGGACATTTTCTTCTGTGTGTGCTTTATATTCTTCATGTGTTTTAACTGTTGATTCTCTGACCAAAACCATTTCAATGGTTTTGTTAAGTCCTCTGAGAGGACTTCTGTTGTGACCAATTGTGTAATTGTATGTTTACATCTGTACATGTTAGCAGCAGTATGTTTACATCTGTACATGTTAGCAGCAGCTTTAGATCCCACCACAGCACTGAGACTGCTCTCGTCAAGGTAACAAACGATATCCGGCTGAACGCTGACCTAACGGCAGCATGTAGAGATTGAACAGAAGAGGTCCCAGGATCGACCCCTGTGGTACTCCACATGTCAGGGCCATATGATCTGAGACACTGTTTCAGTGCCACAGATCATATGGCCCTGACCTGTGGAGTACCACAGGGGTCGATCCTGGGACCTCTTCTGTTCAATCTCTACATGCTGCCGTTAGGTCAGTTAATACGCAGAAACAAAGTTTCCTATCACAACTATGCAGACGACACTCAGATCTATGTCTCACTGACTGCAGGAGAACATGGACCAGTGGACTCACTCCTTCACTGTATCCAACAGATCAGTGAGTGGATGCAAAACAACTTCCTTCAGCTAAACGCAGACAAAACTGAAATGATTGTCTTTGGTCCCCAGAAACAAATAGAGAGCGTCATCTGTCACCTCCAGTCTCTCTCCCTAAAACCTTCAAACAAGGTCAGAAATCTAGGGGTAATACTGGACTCAGACTTAAATTTTAATAGCCACATTAAATCAGTAACATCAGCAGCTTTTTACCATCTAAAAAACATTGCCAGGATCAAAAACATAGTGTCTAAAGCAGACTTGGAGATTCTTATCAATGCATTTGTCTCCAGTAGGTTAGACTACTGCAATGGCCTGCTCACAGGTCTGTCCAAACAGGCTGTAAAACAGCTGCAGTACATTCAAAATGCAGCAGCTCGAGTCCTGACTAGAACCAGGAAGTACGACCATATTAGTCCAGTCCTCAGGTCTCTGCACTGGCTTCCTGTGGCTCAGAGAATAGACTTTAAAACAGCTCTGCTTGTTACAAGTCTCTCCATGGCCTCGCACCAAAATATATTGGTGACATGTTAGTCCCATATGAACCAGCCCGGACTCTGAGGAGCACAGGGACTGGACTCCTGCTGGGACTCTGAGGAGCACAGGGACTGGACTCCTGTTAGTGCCCAGAGTCAGAACTAAACATGGGGAGGCTGCTTTTCAGATTCATGCTGCTAAAATCTGGAACAGTCTTCCTGAAGATGTGAGACAGGCCTCCTCTCTGACAATGTTTAAAACCAGGTTAAAAACGGTTATGTTTAGCTGTGCATACAACTGAGGGATTTTATATTTCTTTCTTTTTAATGTCTTGTGATTATTTATGATTTTAATGCTTTCTTGTTGCCTTGTGTATGAATTGTGCTATACAAATAAACTTGCCTTGCCTTGCCTTGTCTTAAGTGTAGATCTGTATATCAGCAGCATGAGGCTTCTCCAAACGTTGCTTTCTGTTTGTCATGCATCTTTTTTCTTTTCTTTTATTCTGTAATTGATTTAAGTAGTTCTCTGATAAAGTCTCAGGGTTCCATATTTCTTCTCATTCCCTTCAAAAGCCTGAATGGCGTTTTAAGATTGTTCACTTAAACTTGATAGTCTAACTGTGATTGCTTTGGAGTATGTCTCCGCTGTCATTTGTGACAATACATCGATATTGTATTCAATCATCCGCACACATGTCTGTTCATGTATCCAAACTTAAGATGTGGATAAATTGTAAAGTTGTAAAATAATAATAAAAAAAAAAAAGATTATTTCCATTCTGTGCTGTGGTGAGCTCCGCGTGGAAAACAATGCAACCCCAGTGCAGACGATTCTCCATTCTGATTGGCTCTCATGGCCCAGTGACCAGCGGAGCAGATAAATTGCCTGTTATCTTGATGGTCGATTCTTGGTGGGGTCCCGTAAATTGCTTTGTATTGACACCCTGTCAGAGCCCGATCCTCATGTTAACCCCAGATGGCCTCAGGTGGACACAGCACCTTTGGGTGAAACATTTCTGCTCCAGATTCCTTATTGAGATCATAACAAAATCAACGATCACTGTTAGAAAAAGTAATGTCTGATTGCGTTCATGGTTGTGTCTTGCCCATGATACAACAGCTGCTATGAGTTTTCTCCGACTGTATCTCACATATGATTTTTGTATGATTATCAATACAATTATCCTGTATATACATTTGCCAATGTTTTGTTTATTATGTCCAAGGCCCTTTATACCTATGGTAATATCCAGCACATTATATACTGTAGTTTGGCCCTCCACTATCCATTGTGTTTTCTGTAATACTTGAGATATTTTTCTTGACAAGCCGACTATATTTCAGACTCCTCTCAAATGTTGATGCTGTGTAAACATGGGAAGAAAATCTAACATGAAACCAAAATTGCAAATCTAACTGCAATCATATTTGTCCGACAGGTTTCAGTCCAGCCCTGTTGTTTTGTGTTAAAATGGTGACAAACTCAAATGAATTGAATCTATTTTCAGAAATGATATAAGAAACAGTCAATGATAGGGCCTTGAAGACAGAGGAAAATACTAAAATCAATAACAGAAATAAATAAAGGTATATAGATTATATGCACAACATTTATAAAAGAAAAAAAATAGTGACACGTTTATGAGAATAAAGGTCACTGTCAAGAAAGGATTCAGGACCCCCAACATATTAACATTGACATTTCCCCACTGTGGGACAAATAAGAGATCTCATTTCAGATTCATGCTGCTAAAATCTGGAGCAATCTTCCTGAAAATGTGAAACAGGCCTCCTCTCTGACAATGTTTAAAACCAGGTTAAAAAACAGTTGTGTTTAGCTGTGCATACAACTAAGAGATGTTTTATTTTTTATCTTTCTTCTTAATGTACTGTAATTTTAATGCTATCTTGTTTTGTTCAGAGTTGCCTTGTGTATGATTTTTGCTACACAGATAAACTTGCCTTGCCTCTTATTGTGAATACCTGAGAAAGCTTTTCTTCTGCAATTGTCACTGAAACACAACCATTTGTTAGTATCCAATAAGTGCTCAGTATTTAACCACTGCATTATTATTAGACCAGATATATTACTCTGTGTTTGTATCGTTTAGAGCAAGTCATACTCCGGGAGCATCCTTCGACACAAAGGACTGGTAATGTTGGCACCGATCGCTATTGTCTGACAAAAAGGCAACAGCCAATTTAGCATTTCTCGCACTGCTTAAACCCTGCACCAGACGCACACCCTCACATCGCCTTGTTCTTCTCTGGGCTGATATGGATGATGCTGCAGAGACTTGTGGAAGTGGTGTCGGTCTGAGGATAAGAGGCTGCAGCGGGGCTGAGAGAGGAGAGAAAATTAATCAGACACAGACACACCAAAAGAAAATGGATTCTCCGACGCAATGAATAATGCATTACAAGAAAGAACAGAGAAATCTCCTATAAAAACATACACTGGCCCCGAGGTGAGCCCGTCTGGATGTGGGCACTGGTCAAAGTGTTGAAGTCCAAAAAAAAGGCAATTCGTGTGATGTGTGATTTTATCTTATTTGTTGTAGGAATGCTTTGATGTCAACAGAGCAAAGTGCAAAACGAATATTTGTTAAGATTTTTGATTAAGATGTGGACATATGTTGAGGTCCTCTGTTGAACGTGTGATATGCTAAATATTAAGATGTCCGTATTATTCATTTCACAAAGCCAAAAACCTGGTGACTAAAATCTGGATGTGATCATTTTGTTATTGTACATATTAGTATATCCTTGCGAATTATTTAAGAAAGTAAATGTGCGTTGGTTTACATTCTAGCCATGTTGAATTAATGTGTGCGTGTTGATCCATCAAGTGTAATATTCAAAAAATCTCATTGAATTAACCTGAGTGAGTAATAATTGTTGATCAATTACACAATTTGAACTAAAGTCATGAGGAAATGGCAGTGGTGTGCAAATATTTCACCAGTATAGTTTTGGACAAATAATATCACAGTATTAAGTAAGGGATTGTGTATAGAACGCAGGTCATTATCTCGACAAGGCGAAATTAAGTACCTCCAGGGCGGGGTCCGATTCTGCTCCGATGGTACTAATTTTCCTATAATGACTTGTGTTATATAGTGCCTTGGCTTTTTACCTATTTTTTTTACATTACAGCCTTTAGTTCAATGTTTTTTTTTTATCTGAATTTCATGTGATGGATCAGAAAACAATAGTCTAAGTTGGTGAAGTGAATGGAGAAAAACCTATACAACTAATAAACACATACAACTTTTTTTCAGAAATAAAAAACTGTAAATTGGCATGTGCGTATGTATTCACCCCCTTTGTTACGAAGCCCATAAAAAGCTCTGGTGCAACCAATTAACTTCAGAAGTCACAAAAATAGTGAAATGATGTCCACTTGTGTGCAGTCTAAGTGTCACATGATCTGTCAGTACATATACACACCTTTTTTGAAAGGCCTCAGAGGCTGCGAAACCTAAGCAAGAGGCACCACTAACCTAAATCCATAATCAGATACGTCAAAAATATTAGTTCTGGGTTTGCCGCGATTGCATTTTGTTGCATTAAAACAGTATTTTTGGAGTGATCTTGACACATTAATTACAAGACCAAATTGCATTTATGGAAACTCTATGATGGCACAACGAACAAATCATGAAATGTTTGCAATGATCCGTTTCTCCGCCTGAATGTTGGAGTTTTTCTGAGGCCACGCTCTCTCGGCCATTATTCAGACCGAGCAGAAAGAGAGAGAGGAGGACACACGACCAGAGGAGAGTGGAAAGTTACTTGTTCCTGCTCTTGCCGAGTGCTTTTCTTGTTAATTATGTTTTGATATGGAAATATATCTTGTCTGAAACCCAAATACACGCTTTGCCGGTTTTCTCTAAAACTCCTCTGATGACACATTTCCTCTAATTAGAAGCATGAAGGTTTTTATCTCATCCTGCTAGGCTTGATTTAACTGGAACTTTTATAACTATCGTACAGAGTTTGATGGTTATATTACAACTGAGGATGCACCGATACCAACACTGGTACCAGGTGGATACCATAGGCTTGTACTTGTACTCATACCATAGGACCTGATTCTGGCAACCCATACCCACATTTTTAAGATGTATGATTAGTGTCACGGCAGCAGACAGCTGTGCGGCACGTGTTGCCATGACGATTTCCCAAAGTCGGCAGCAAGAAATCAAGCTAGCTGTTAGCAAGCTAGCAGCAAGTTGTACAGCAGTTTTTCAAAGTAAAAGAGAGTGACAAGAGTAAAGCGGACTGTACGTTGTGTAAGAACAAACTGTCACGAGGCGGGTCCAAAACGAACACGTATAACACCAGCAACTTCATCAAACATCTGAAAACTCATCACCACCACCACGCAGAGTTAGTACGGCACCTTTGCTAGCACCGGAATCGTTTCTATGTCCTATATATTATATGAGTGGAATATGACAGTGGCTTTATTGTTGACAGTTGAAACAATTGCTAAAATGTGTAATTGATAAAGCATTTTCTTTTTGTTGAAATGATAAATTTAAAAATATCAGTTTTAATAGTTTTGAGGAAAATAAGTTAACCCTTCGTTTCCAGGTTCGTTGTTGGAAGCACTGTACAATTAGAACGAGAGAAATGAATTTATTGCAGTTCACATAAAAAGTTGCATGGCCAAGGGGCTCATACAGAGTTCAACCAAGTAGTCCACCTCCGTCTTAGGTCCGTCATCAAAAAAGTGGGCATCTCTATTTATAACATCAAAGTGTGTGAAAGCTGTTTTTTGGCAAACTGAGCTGTCCCCATGTCGGCAGAGAGCATGCCAGAGGTTGCCTGCTGCTTGTATTGGATGCAGAGTACGATGGAACACTCGGATCTGGACATTCCGCAATTATCTGTGAGTGAGGCTGTGAGAGGTCAGTGTATCAAACCCACTGCTATGACTGTGGCTCCTCAGGATTTCCTCTCCACAGAATGTCTGCTCTGTGTAGAAGCGTCTCATAGTCCTCCTCCAATCTGTCCTCCTGAGCTGGATTAGGTCTGAGACAGGGCAAGCTGGTGAGGCACAGAAGAATGTTATAGGAGGCTGACCATCACTGCTGTGGTTACTTTTGGGTAAACAGTGACCTATGTCCTGCATAGGTGGACAGATGCAAGACAAAATAGTACTAATAACTTGGCCTTTGGTGGTCAGAAGGACCACAGAGACTTTTGTTGTTTAGGCTATTTGGTGCCGGAGGTTTGGCATTTTTATGATGACGTAAATTTCTATATATAATGTATCTGTGTCTTTTGTTCTGTCTGAAATTAACGACCATTTTGTGAATAAAACGACCAGGAGGCTTTTGTCGTACCAAGATCCTTTTTTGTCTGAGTCTGATCCCTATCACTTTAACCTCTTAAACTCCTACATCTGTTTTGGCTCGTGCACAAAAGTTTGGCATACCCAAATGTCTTTGCTTATTCAAAAACACATCTTGCATCTCACATGCTTGTGTGATGCATCATTTTAAAGCTAGGCCCTTCTAGTTTATGTAAATATACACTGAAATAATGTGTGTCATTCCTATTTCACTCTGCATCCTTTGAAGTTTGGGAAAAAAACAGTTTTTTTTAGCCTAGAATTCAATGTATAAATGCCCTAAAAAAGCCTACTTTATTGGAAGAAGAAAATTTTCAACGCCAATATGTTCATTGTGTTATTGACAACAACTGTGTAAAGTTTCAGACTTCTAAGTTTTATAGTTTTTATGCAGTTTCTCTTTTTTATCAAGTAGTGCCATTCGGAACCAATTTGGCAAAATGTGTGCCAAATTGTGCCAAACTGCTTTACTAACATCATCATAAAAAGCATATTTTTTAGTTTTGGTACTTATAAGTTACAAATCTGTGTGATTTTCTTTTACATTTTTTCAAAATAAATTTTTTAGTAGTGTAAATGCATATAAAATATGTGCAGCAGTACTAACAGCGTCTTTACGCACGCTTTTACTGTGAAAATGAAAAGAGTTCCTACAAGTCCCACCCATCAAAAGAAAGCTCTTTTTATTGGCTACTTAGACACGTCAATCATTCAGTGCTAGCTCATAGCGCTAGCCTGTAATCAACAAGGAAAAAAAGGACCCTGTGCAAATGGATGCGGTTTGTCTTTTTCACAAGGGTCCTGTGGACTGAAACCTGCTCCTATCTTTTCATGGAACCTCTCTTTTTGAAGCTAAGGACTCAAGGAACACGTGGGTATAATGTTTGTGGCTAAACAAAGCTCAAACTTGGTGAAATGTGAAAGAGAAGCCTGAACATTTTTCGGAGCGTTTTTTTTTTTTTTTGCAACAGAAACATTTACATTTTTGGATTATTTCTGAAGAATGGATTATACTTTGGGAAATACAAGTGGATGTTCTTTTTCAATGAAGACTTACGGAGAGAAAGAGACTAAGCAAGGATGGGGAAAGTCTAATTTGTTGGAGCAGCAGAAGACGAAAGGTAAAAAACTTATACAAACACGATTTATTTTGTGCCCATATTATGCGTTATATCTTTTTAATGCAAAGTCTGATATCATTTATACTTATATATACATATAGCTGATAAAATAAGCTTTAAAATAATATATAGCTTGTGCCTTATGAAGTTCAAAATACATCTGCTATTGAAGAAGATGTTTTTTTCTCGTTTGCCCCCACCGGCGAGGGCTTGCGAGCTTAAGTTGTTGTTTTTTTTGTTTTTGTTTTTTTAAAGTCCTCCGCTCTCTCTTTGATTTTGTTGTTTTGTAATAATCCAAAACACATTGAAGAGACCGGTTGACAAGCATTGACTGGTTGGAAGAATTGGAATTGACCGGTTGCTGCCATAGACAGAGCACTTTCATTTTGATTACTTTTACTTTTTTGGGGCCTCTTTTTGAAACCCCCCCTGACCCAATGATGGATGAATAAAGGGATAAAAATGAAATGAAACAAAAGTTGCATTAGATCTCAAATAGTTTTGGCTTCAAAAAATAAACAAACATAACAAATGAACATATTTTAAAGCCGGGTTATCAACCACCAACACATGTAGCTCCATCCAACTCCCACAACAGTTGGTGAGGAGTGACTGGGTTCGAAGGAGGACAGAACAAGTGCTGCTTATACCGTTCTCCCCCAGTCACTGCTGAACTCACTGCTCTCACGGAGTGGGCTTTATTGAAAGATAAAAATACCCCCAACCCACACAGAATAGCCCCACAAGTAAAACATGAACCACTCGTTGGACATCGTCTTGCAGCATTGTTTTCACAAAACACCCCAATTGTGGACAATGTGGATAAGTTTGTGTAAGCTCTCAGTCGTACAGGGATTACTGGGATCCCATTTCATTTGGGAAAACCTGCTAAGAAGTACAGCTGATGGGTGAGAAACCTTCCTTTGCTTTGACAATGTGGATAATTATTAGCTTGGTTTCAACACCTCAGTTGTAGATTTCCACACTCCAATGTAGGTCAACCCAAAAGTTGTCTAGACTGATTATATTCACATTAATTTAAATGATAACCTAAACAATTCCACTTTTGGACTTCTGTCATTGCTTGAGATCAGCTTTGTCACATAGAAACGAGAAAAACAGAGAATCTCCCTGATTCATTCCACTGACTCTAAGCCCCTCAATTTTTGTCTATCATGAACGCTACATACTTGCATGCACATTCACTTGATTTTCTGAGTTTTTCTTCTATACATTCCTTGTGTAAAATTGATTTCCATTATTTTTCTGGATGAAGACATACATATGTGTTGTATAGGTGCTGCAGACAAACTACTCTGCCCCAATTAAATCATGCTGTGAACAATTTTTACTGAACTGTCTCCTTAGCTCCAGGTCTTCAGGAAGGATATAGAATTCGAGCATTTCACTGTGGATCCTACAGCGTGGAAATGTAGCTCAACATGAAGCAGAATTCATAGAGAGGGCTCAATAATAATCAGACAACATAAAGCAGTTGCAGGCTATTTCTTCCTTATTATGATTCATTCGGCAACATTACAGGCGTTCTTCACCTTCACTTCAATACCTGTCAAAAATCTCATCTCAAATTTAGATGGTTCCCTTTTCGGAGAGAACGAATATAGGAGCAGATGAGATATGTCCGCATTGCTTTGTCTGTTTAGTCTTGAGGCATGAGGACTTTTGATTTGTGAGGTCTTGGGTGTTTAAAAGGCATGTCAAGGCTGTCAGAGAAGACTTTTAGAGATTGTGTGGGTGAGACAGGCGACAGGAAAAAGAGAGGAACAGACAAGGCAAAACAAACCACTGAACACTGCTGAGTCTGTGGTGATCAAGCGCTGACACAACTTTGAGCAAAACAATTCAAAAGATTATTCTACAACACTAACTTTTAGACATTTTTTAGTTTTTTTGAAAATATTACTGGGTTTGCTGTGGAGATTTTCCTTTTTAAAATGGGGACAAAATATTTTTCTTTATTCAGTTA